AGAGAGCAACTGCAGAGCTTCAGCAATCCATGTTCAGACACAGATTATCACAGGACATTCTAGGCAATGAGTCCTCCATCCTGAATCAAAATTTTACCTGTGAGCTCGCAAAATCTGAATTATTTGTCAATAGGTAGAGCACAAGGAAATACCCAGCTTGCCTTGTATATTTGCCTTAACCACAGGCTAAGTCCATGTTACACAAGAATGGGAAAGGAAATCTCTTTGTAAATAAATGTTCAAAATATATCTTTGGGTTCAATGGTATTTCATGCACTCTGGAGACTTATAACTGTGCATTTAATAAACTAAAAATGAGCAAACTAAATACAAAGTAATAATTTACAACCACAACTAAATTTTTAAATGCCTTGTCAGTAGATACAGTTAAGATAGTACTCTCTGTCTCCCAATTATGACTAAAACTAGCAAATTGCTATATCTAATCTTCAATAATTTCTTACAAGTTACAAGGACAGGCTTGGTCTAGAAGCTGAAAACTACTAACTCTCAACAAATAAAGGTGCTAGCTGTACCGAAGAAACCACAGGCACACATATCGCTTGTGTCGGCTTATTCTGCTAGTATTCTCCCAGGAACCAACAGGAAACCCTTTGACCAGCCCAAACAGAAACTCACAAGATTCCCTCATTGTTGGCAAATGACTGCAGTTAATGTATCGAAGAATGACAAAGCATCTGCCTTCTGAGGAGTGTGCCTATCTTTCATTGAACAAAAAATTGAATATCCCAATCAATTATGAGAGGAAAATAAGCAGCCTCACCAGCTTCCAGAAGCAGCTCTTCTCAAGCAGTCCCGATATTTCTGTCTTCAGACAAATATAAAACCATTAAAAAAAAATAAAGCTGCAAACTAGCCCATATTGCAACAAAGTACATTTTAACAGTCTCAGGAATTTTAGTCAATATGTGGACAGCTGTTCACTTGGACTGTAGTATGTAACAAGTGTAAGCCATTTACTGTAAGAGGAAAAGGGTCCAATAGTTAACTTCCCCAAATTGGAGGCTGTTTTACCATGCTACTGAAAACTCTGTATTTCATCAAAATATCATAAACATATCACAAAATTTGATTTAAGTTTACCTGTAAACTGTGCCCTTCATAATCCAAACAAAGGGCTTGTAAGATTGTCTACTTCTGTTTGCTTGGTTCAGTCAGAAAAATAATTTCTCACTGATGCCAGAATGTTCTTCATGAGGATTCACCTTAACTGTTCACTTTACTATCGTTTCCTTCATCACACTTGCTGACCCTTCTTCTGTGATTCACCACACCTTATCAGGAAATTATTCCATTTAACTCAACTGGGCAGTACGTTTGGAGCTTTTGGTTTTGACTTCAGCCATGACCAGTGGTGTTGTGCTTGGAGATTTGTTCAGGCTTATTGGAAGTCTGAATTTGATAGTGTATATTGATTCATACACTCTCAATTATTACTGCATTTGAAGTGTGTGCAGATTTCTGTATGTGTGTGTACATGCACACATACACACAGAGGAGGTAATATTTTCCCAGATTAAAAGATTCACCCATCTGGAATCATTCAAAAAGGAAATACATGTTCAAAACCTGTGGTAGCTTTGAAAACCTCAATACACTGTAGATGGATTAACACTGTAGGTGGATTAAACACATCAATCAATTAGTTTTTGCTGAAACTTACACTGAGTAACCAGTATCATTTTAACTCTGAAAAGACCAGCACTCCATCATAATACAGATACATACTCACACACACAATCTCATCCAGTAACATGTGCACCTAGCTAAGAAGAAAAGTGTTGAAATAACTATAACTACATAATTAGTGGAAAGTACAGCAGTTGTCAAAATCTTGGGAACTTTTCAGACTACTAGTTGGAGGCAAGTCCAGCTCTATGTCTAACAAGGACCATTTCTGTTGAGTACATTTGTTTGTTTATTCTCCAGATTGAACAGTGGATAAAAAGCAGATATGCATGAAACCAACAGCCACGGGTCTCTTTTGTTTAGGATCATCCACTGTTGAATTATTTTTCACTGCAGCCAAAGGGTCTGTTTGAACTTCCTGACTGTTCATCACACATAATTTGGAGTATTTAACATTATGTCAAGAAAATTGCCCATTGCTTCCTACCGTGGAAACCTATGGGAGCTCTATATCTTTAAACTAATTTTACTTAAAGTATTCCATTGAATAGCATGACTGTCTCACTATAATCAGTGCAGCAGTAATGTAATTAATCTCAAAATTGCTGTGGGGAGTACAAGGCATCTCAGTTGCTTGTCGTAACAATCTAAATTAGTGTATTACTGAAAGATGTTGGGGAGGAACAGTTCATTTTAGGTAAATGCTGTCAGGGTATCCATCCTTTCTATTTCTAAAGCTGAAATTAAAACTACCATCATAGTTCTCCTTTTGAAATCCAAATTAGTATGTTTTGAGGTGGGAAAGTATAATTAATTTTGATGTGGTATTCCTACAGATGCAGCTTTGCATTTTATAATAATTAAATTTGTTTGAATAAAAATTCATGTTTTATTTAGAAAAGAAAAATTGGTTTGGCTCAAAGCATGCCATTGTATCAGAACAATTCTCTTTTTTCACTGAAACTTCACAGACGGCTGCTGCTTCTTTTCCTAAGCAAAAAAATTATTCTTGCTGTTTTACTTTTTCTAAAGCCATCCTTTAACTGTTCTATTTAGAGGTATTTTTGACTGGGCATGCAACTTCTCTAATGTCCGGCATATCTCAGAGGTGAACTTTAAAGAATTAAATTTAAAAGAGATTCAAATAATAATAGTGATTAATGATAATATATTGTGGAGAATAGCTGATGCAGATGCCTGGAATCCAGTACTTGGTATTGCTCAACACTGTCCCGTCCCCTCTTCTCAGGAAGTAAATCAAACATGAAATGAAATGAAAAACATTACTCTGATATAAAGGTTATGAAAGGTAATGCAAGTAGTAAACTGAGGTCAGTTTGGCCTGTTATTCCCTATGGTGCCACAACACAAGAATAGGAAGTGTTTTCAGATTGCTACCACTCTGAAAAAAATCAGCAGAGTAAAATTTTATCTTTTAAAGTCTAAAGATTAATCTTCCAACTGCAGATAAGGGAAGAGAGTAAGACTCTTGCTGGGTAAAGAGTTGAAAGCCTTTCTCTTGCTCAGTGAATATACTCCCCAATGTTAAAATCACAAAACAGCACATGTCAGTTGTCTGGAAGAAAGTCAGATATTTCATTTAGTTCTTGTATTTTTTCAGCAATGATCCAAAGCAGAACACTGAACAATCCAGACGATTATCACATAATCTGTTCTTTTAATATATATAAGAAATCAAAATGTAAGTAAAACAAGCACTGAATAATTAAAGAAATGCATAACAGTAAGGACCTGATTTTAATTTGCATAATTTTTCCCTTAATAGTACCTAATTAAGACATCAGTTAAAAAAAAAAAAAAACACAACAGAACTCTAAGACTTTCCACACTGAATTAACATTAAGGAGTTTTAATGGATGTCTTAATTAGACTTTGTTGTTCATGGAAATTTTACACAAATTAAAATCAGGTCCTGTATGCAACACTCTCAGCTGAGTCTCAGCAAAAACGTTACATGGAACTGAAAGACTTTTAATCCATGCAGACAGCAATTTGTATTCTAAAGCCAACATACTCCATTTTCACTTTTTGGTTTAATTTGCATTAATATTGTAAGCAACAAAAATCACATAGTTAGGACTTCTCCCTTCAAAGTAAATTTTGATTTTATAGACTCACTTTTTGTTTTTTTAAATATGTATAAAGTCATGCAGCTGGACCAGAGCATTAGTCCATGGGGACAATAGCCACAATGACCTTCTCCACAGCCCACAGGGGCCGTTATCTGTTATTCAACACAGTAAGTTTGATTCAGCCTCAAGTTCTATTGCTGTTGTGTCTGAAACACTCACTGAAAAGCCTGTCATTATTGGTGAAAAACAAAACAAAACAAAGCCCAAAACAAAATGTTGTCACAGCACCCCCTTCATCCCTGGTAAGACAGCCCTTCCAAAGGAACCCAACTCTTAGGAGCAGGAAAACCTGACCACTGTCTCTTCAGTTTACATTCCGAAGACTCGTCCAAAAAACATGCTAAAGCACAAACTACAGGGCTCCACAGGAGTCTTTCAAACAAGGCATCAAAAATCAGTAACAGCCCGAGCAGCAAAGATTATGTTACACTGACACTGGAAATATTCCAAGTATTGATAGACCAAGTCTCAAATGTAGTTTACCCTATAGCGCAGATCCCATGCTAACGCTACGTGCTGATTCTGTCATGGAAAGTAGTTTTGCACACAGTCCTTCACAAATTACTTCCCTAAAAAAAACCACATTAATTTCCCATATCAGACACAAGTCTGAATCAGTGTAGCAGCCCAGAACTCATCTGTTATCGCCTGTTTTCTACAAAAGGAAGAAAAAACAATTTTGTGGGTCTGTGCTGTGCTCACTAGAGTAACGTCTTTGCACTTCTGCAAAGAAATATGAGGTGCCTACAAAACAGGGCACACATTACCTTGCCAGAGTTTATTTTCATTGTCAGTCTATAAATACACCTGTACATGGGTTCATGTGCATGCGCGACCGTGTACGTGTCAGCGCACCCCTTGCTCTGCCCCACAGCAGGACCTTCCTCTCCAGCAGCCCTACAGGGGCGCAGAGGCCCCAGACTGCAGGAGGGGTGCAGGACTGGGACCCCCTGTTAGTGCTGACGGCTCATTCAGTACAAGTATTTTTCTTATGCTTGACAGAGGAATAGCGATTGGATAAGACTAACCTGCGCCCTTTATTCAGCCATGCTGAACAGGAAAAGTTGCTGGATTGTTTATATGCCAGCTCTCAGCTTGTTCTGAGACCAGAACTAGTGAGATACTGGTCTACTTGCCCTGGAAGACACACATTCCTCATAGGATTTCTTTTGGAGGGTTTGCATTGTTTTACAGTACCTGGCTAGTCTGCGGGCTGGACGGGTCATAAGAAGGTACATAATTCTTCAGAGTATCCTGAGGATTCAGGTGGGGAGGATATCTGATCGTTGGATGAGAGAAGTAGCTAGATGGGGCAGGAGGGAGAATAGCTTGTGCTGGAAATGGCAATGGTGAAGGTGGAGGTGGAGTTCTAGTTGAGATGACTGGAGAAGATAAAATAAAATTAAAATTACTTCGTATCTTGTTTCTTCTAAAATTCTTCACCTCTGTGTTACAGCAAGAAAAATAAAAAGTCAGTTATAAATCAGTACACTGCATTTCTGCTTCATGGCATCTTTACAGAAAAGCTTACATGTCCTCCCCTCACATCATCCCAGGCAGTGGAAATTGCTACTGTTTCAAATTCATAAATACTGTATCTTGCTTTGGTTTTGTGGGTTATGCCATCATTTTTTTCTTGTTTTTTCTTTACACAATAATCATTCTCCAGCACAAAATACATTTCAGTTATACAGTTTTCCCATCTGGAGCCCAAATAAACAAAATAAATATTTTACTCAATAAATGAAACATACGATTTTATCTACAGCCCTCCAACAGAGGAGAACAAGGTCACCAAGTCCTAAGAAACAGTCAGTGATTTGTCACTGCATTGCACTCTACCTGCCTCAGGTAGGGATGGGGTAATAAGTGTTCATCACTAACGCCACGAATATTAGCCAACCTTTGTGAAAATGCTGTATAACATTCAACTTCAGGGCCTGGGAAAATATCTCTAACAAACAAAAAAGTATCTACTTTCTATATATTTTTCTTTGCATTCTCTTCCTTCCCAGCCCCTACAAACAAACACTTCTCTATCTATAGACTATATGTAATGTGTAAACAACCAGCAATGTTTTCACAGTGACAGGAATGCACAGCATGTCCTGCTGCTGCCCAGTTGTCCGACTGGAAGTGGAGAGTGTTCTTCTATCACACTGCACAATAACCCGCCTTCCACCCTTACTACACATCTAGAGGGCACCTACGTGGCAACCTATTAAAAAGGAGGTACTGAGTTCAATGGAAGTGGAGAAAAGACAGTGGTGTTTTCATTTTCATTAGTGGGAGGGTAGAAAATCAAGGTATAAGCAAGGTTTTATAAACTGTTCACGCTTCTATATTGTATCAATACAAGAACACCAACACTGCTTTTCTGGATCACCTCTTATGCCTTTGATGTTTTTTCAGCTTAATTTTTAAATGACTTGCTATTTTTGAGTTGGGACCAAGTTACAGTTTGCCCAAGAAAAAACAACAGTAGGAATGTTCCAAAATTGCTGTACTTGGTCATCAAAATCCTGGAAATTTCAAGAACATTGCTCACTGACGTAATAGAACAGGCTACACAGATGGAAATCAGGTTTCCTAGCAAGTAAATAGCTCATCTACAAATTGGGTTATGACTATCACTCAAATACATATATCCAAAAATTATACACTAAAGCAAATATAAAGATCTACACATAAGTGTAGGGCCAAAAATAATTATAGAAGCTTCTTTTGCAACAGGCTCATTTTAACCACAGCCCCACTAGTTCTGTTTAATCATAAAACATTAGTTACTGCTCTGACATGTGGGAGCTGTGCAAAACAAACACAAGTGAGCAGAAATCTCTCTCTTCCATTTCACTCATTGTCTCTGATGTGCTTGAGTATTTGCTGATAGTGGATTACATCTTACAGAGACCAGAATTAATCCAGGCTCACTTTCATAATACAAAATACGTGGATATTAAGGGGAAAATCGTCCTTATACACGAATTGAAAAAGAGGAACTTGAAATCATGAGGGAACTACAAAACAGAAACTCCTCAAAGCAGAATGCTTTGCATGTGAAAGAAAAGAAGAAAGAGTCCTCAATCTGTTTTACTCCTCTAGTCACCCAGCTCTGCTCAAGAAATACATCCCTTTACATGCAGTTTACAAGGAGACATGATGAGCTGCTGAGGGAAGACTTGCGAGGACCATGTTCTCACCTGAAGAACGAAGGCCATCTCACCTCTAAAATTAAACAGAACATGATGCTGGAATTTCCCTGTCATTCCTGATGAACTCTCAAGTAAACATGCATTCTGTCAAATTTCAAGTGTCTTCTTCACACTTTAAGTGAAGTTTTACTATGGATTTACTCTGGATTTCAGAAAACAGATGTTGAAAAATATTTATCAGGACTCTACCTCTTTGGACAGGGCATTCAAAAGAAGCACTGGTACTTATTTCATTGTGTCACATAGTGAACACTGTTGTGACTTCTCTTGTGTATTAGATCCTACCTATTCTGGTATTTAAATGCAACATAGTCATAGCAATAATAACAGAAAAGGATGTAGGTGGAAGGACAAAAGATAGGGAGGATTTCTCCTCTGTCGGTTTCTTCATGCAGTTTACATCTTATTTTATTCACTGGTTAATCCCAAATCCTTTCCAGTGACTTGCAGCAGTCAGACTACCTGAACTGAGTTTAATGAGCATTCCTACAAGGACAGGCCAACCTCTTCCATTTCTACTCTCATCAGTATTATAAATGGGATCAGGTCTGTAAGAAAGTCTGCAAAATGCATCACAATCTGATTGTAGGAAAGGAGAACAGACCAAATGAATAGGGAGGTATTTCTTCCTCCTCCAAAACCCTCACCACTGTGTGCAACTCCTGGGATTCCTGGGTGGTGATGCTGGGGAAAAGTGCTCAGTCTTGGTGAAGAATCCTGGGGAGAAGTAGGACTAAACAAAGGCTTTTCAGGTTTCTTCATTGTAGGAGAAGACATATCTGCAATAGAAAAACAATAGAACAGTGATATTAGCTTAGAAGCCTGTCTCAGGACCCATCATTCTGTAGACTGAAAATATTTATTTTTACTGTTCTTGCGTAAATATTATTTGCTGACCCAACTCCTCTGTGACCAACAAACTAATTTTAAACTATTACTTTCAAACTTGAGAATGGATAATAATACCCTAACTCATTTTTGTCCTGCAAAACAGAAACTACATTCCTTGCATACCCAACAAGCCAAACAGTGAAGAAATGCATGTCTTCAGAACCTCCCTAGACACTTCTCAGCTCCCCAGAACATCACCAGATCATCTGCTCCTTCAACAGCCACATAACCTTTATTGCATTTTTTAATGGAACACTTACACTCAGGTGTGTAGGGTAACTGTCATACACATGCCGGTTTACGGTATTTATTATTTTGTAATTTCAAAACCCATCCCTTACCCTTCCCAAAACCATAGTGAAACAATGTAACCTCCCTAAGAATAAAGGATACTTTAACTTCTCTATCTCATATTTTCCATGTCTCGAGTAGGGCCTTCCCACCTCTTCCTTCCAGTTTCTCTATCAACAAAAACATTTCTTTAGAGCTTGCTGCACTAAGATAACACACTAGTAGGGACAAATGTGTGATTTCTACCACGTATGGTTACTGATATTGCCTAAAGCAAAAATACTGGATTCTTTCTGAAAGTTTAAATTAATTAAACAACATTTGTTGGACTTTGCACCAAATTATTTCAAAGTTCATTATAGTATTTTATAGGACACACACCAATATCATAAGTGGCTTCCATTTCAAATTAATGGGACTAACTCATGTTTAAAGCAAAGGTCATTTCTCAAGTAGTGTACTGGACTGGGGCCACATTGCAGCTGACTTTGCTACATGGACTGTGTTAGCCCTTAGAGTGATTTTGGCACTTTTAATATTGGCACACTGTATCGAGCTGTTCTGGAGGACATACAATCATCTTGGAAGTCAAAGACAGGCCTGCAAAATGTGAGCACCTTACTGAGATCAAATTGAACCAGTGCTTTCTGAACTGGTTGGAGTTTAAGAGTGGGTTTTCACCCTGAAAGCTGTACTTAGAGCAGGACCCATCAAACTAAGACACCCCTTGTCCGCTCTGCCCCGTCCCGCTGCCAAGCCCTGCAGAGGCACTGGCACCAGACCCAGAGCAGACTCTGCCAGTGCCCCTCCACCACCCCCCTGCAGCTCCTCTGCTCCCCTTTGGTCCTGACTGCTAAGTCTGCTGATTTCCCAAATACCCTGCAAAGTTCACCTCTTCGGGAAGGCTGCTGAGAAAGGATTTTGTACAGCGAAACATTCAGCAAGACCAAGGAACTGCTTTACAACAGAGCAATTCAGCACTCATTCATTTTTAGCAGATATGACAAAGGTTATTGTATGCATTTGTTATACTGATCTGTTGCAATTTTATGTTGTTATCAAAAACACTGAGCGCTGACAGAGGCACCTCTAGCTGTCTTATAAAAATTTGGTAAATACATTGTTGTCAAGGAAGAAAACCAAGGAATATTTTGTTTCTTTGAATCTACCAGCAAAGACAAAGTTGCCAGATGGTTACAGTTCTGTTGAATACATTCTGCTAAGCTAAGAAATAACTTTTAAAGTTGCAAGACTGAATTTTTTTAAACTGAGTTTTGCACAGGCAAACCATGATAAGAAGGCATATTAATTCTGAAATGATTTCCAAACATTTCATTCTGTTTTATTTTCCTCTCAAATGGCAACCCCAGCTTCTTCATATAAGGACCTAGTTCCATCAGAGCAAGAAAATTCTCACACCTACACAACAGATGTAGGGTGTTATAAAAGCCCAGGACAAAATTAACCAGCTATTGTCTTTGTACTGTGGTTCTGTGCATGCACAATCTCTGTCTCTGCAGAAACACTGCAATGTCACATTCTGAGAAAAAAGATGTGTGCTTAATAGCTTGTAGACACAGCCTCCCACTACAATGCTGCGGTCATCAGTACTCCACAGAACCATAGAATCATAGAATGGTTTGGTTGGAAGGGACCTTAAAGACCATCTAGCTCCAAAACCCCTGCCATGGGCAGGGACACCTTCCACTAGACCAGGTTGCCCAAAGCCTCATCTTTTGCCACAGAACTTATCGGCGACCAAGTGTCTTGTAAACTCTACCACACATAGGATATCACAAAAGAGAGAATGTATAGTTTAATTTTATTTCAAATTAAAAGTACTGCACTTAAGCCTCCCTGAGGAAAAAACAAATCATGGGCTGGAACTGGAAAATCTTTTCCTTATGTAAAGCTCATATTCAAAAAAAAGAGGCCATGAAAGAAAGAGCTGCCTAGCTCCTGAAGGTCTGCATGCGTCAGCAGCTCTGATTTCTGGAATGCAACAGAGATTTAATTTGGTTGGTGACTGTTACTTCATTAAACAAGCAAAAGTTGTTGTGTTTTTCAAAACCAAAATATTTTACTTGCTCGAAAGAAGTATGCTATATGAAGTGCAATGTAATCAGAATACCCATTAACCCCCCAGTGGCATCACTAATTTGAAAGGAATCTACTGAAAAGGAAATTGGTGACTATGATAACCCTAGCATTTGCTTTCAAAATGTGTAATTTATTCCTGCTCTTACTTTATGGAAGTAAGAATTATAGTTAGCACATAGAAATCAGACAGCATAAATTACAAAGCAAACACAATGTTTGAAAGACTGTTTCCTCAAGGTGAGCACGACCGGTAGTCAGGAATAGAAAATTCAGCACTGCTATAAAAATACTCATTACCCACCAAAACAGCAACTGTAATGTACACTGCACAGCACATCACCATGAAGTACTTTAAGAAGTCTCATTATATGCAGCACAGGCAACTGCAAAGAATAACAGCTGAAGTGCAGGGAGCAGCTTCTTTGTTAAAACAATGCACTTTTTGCTTTGAGAAGCAATTCGGATAGCCCCTTCCCCCCACAGCCCCCGCTGCTCTCCCCACGTGTGCCTGGCCCTCAGAACCGAGCATTCGTGCTCCTGCCACTGCCGAATAACAGAGGCAGATGACAGGGGAGATAGAACAATAACTGTTTGTGTAGGTTAGGAAGAAGGCTGCAGCCATCTCCTCCTTGACCAAGACAGGAGGCTTAGACCTTTAATAGGAAAACACACAAGGTACATTTCTTTGGAGAGTTACCAGTTACAAAAACAAAAAGTGTGGGGGGGGGGGGGTAGTGCAAAGCGGTTTTTCACTGCCTGATTTTGCTCATCAGAAACAGTGCCTTTTAATAAGGCAGAATGAGTTAAAGTCACAATGAGACTTCATATGATTTTACTAGTAGCTTCTACATAACATAAAACACACATTTTTCTCATTTTAAAACACGTCTTATTTTTTCCACATCATGAGATATAGTCTAGTAGCTACATAAAGCTTAGTTATATACTGATAATTCAAAATGAATGGCAAACAGAGGTCACAAAAACAGGCCACTTGCTCCTATGTCTGTGTCAAAGTTTCAGGAATGAGATTCCAATCCTTATTACTTTCAGAATGAAAATAAAAGAGTTTCAAGTGTGATTTATTTTTAGATTTTTGCAACAAATGCTAAGTACAGATGAAAAGCAGAAAGATGCCAAAAGCACTTGGACAAACTTATCAAAAGGTCAACATTAATGAGACACTGTGTCCCATCCTGCTGAGAATTTTCTTCAAATGTGAAAAATTGTTTTGGTTTTGGTTTTGGTTTTTAATTCTCAGTGCTGTTCCAAATCACTCTTGCCTGTATTCTCCTATTACTGTGGAGACACAGTACATAGGCACCTAAACAGGTGGCAAGTTATACATTATAAAGCACCTCATCAAAGAAAAAAGGCCTTATGCAAATGAAAAGAGATCATCTCATCTCCCAACAAGGTAAATCTGTCCACATAGGAAGGCAGAAGAGCTGCTGTGAAGCATACCGTATGTAGCCTGTTCATCAGCAGCTTGCGTAAATGCTGCTCCAGATGTATAGCTGTTCAAGACAGCCCAAGGCAACAATTGTGATCAATTCTTCTGTGAAAAAATGCTGCAGGGAAAGTGTGTAGAAACGTGTTTACATCAGCCTTTAATTAAACTGTTGTTCACTTCCAAAGAACCTTAGCAAACACTAATCAGACATGAGTTTTGGCAATGTCCTCATCAAAGCAAAGACCATCTTTCTCAGTCTGAAGCAGCTAGTCATCCAGGCAGTTCCCTGGACGAATGTCACCTTGGCACACCACTCAGCAAGCCACTTGTTAGGTGAACTCAGCTGGAATCGAGCAGTGATCCAGGGCAAGTTCAAACATCCCCCTGCTTGTTTCTGGACACCTGATCTGCTTTCTTGCTCACCACTACAAGAAGGTAGCTTCTCTTTCTTGCTTATGAGCAGAGTAAGAAGAAATCATAAACAAATATTAAATAACTTTTAATCCAGTTTATTCTTTAACTCTTCTTATTAATATCTTTCCTACTGCTTAGTTTCACAAGTCTGTCTTTACAAGGTACGCTCCTGCAGACAACAATCTGTAAAGATTCACTCACAACTCATTAGTGTAGCATCACCTGCAGAGAAAGCAAGATAATTCAACTTACTGTATATATAAAGCCATAGTGAAAACAGGAAAGCTATGCAGTCCATAGCACCACCGGCAAACTATACGAGGCATCCTTTCATGTTACAGTTTTAAACAAACTGCTCTTTTCCCAGAGGCAGTGCCTGGGATAATTTCTGGTGGTAGGATACACTACATAGATCACGTTCAGCCGGGCCTCACTCTCCACTGCCTCCACCACATCTGGTAGGTACGCTTGTGTGAAGCATGTGTGAAAACTTAAGTAAAATTTTAAATTCACATCAGATAGCTGGGGGATGATGATGAATCATGACAAATCCCACTGTGCTCAGGAGAATCAGTTTTCTTTTACACCTGGGCCTGTGAAGAATCACCAGAGCCAGCATCACCAATTTTC